GGAAACCTGTTGAAATACTTTGTGCTGAGAATTATATATTGTACCAAAAATATAATATTGAATAAAGCCAATAATAGTAATTATATATACATATATATATACCTTTGATCTTAGTGCTAATTTTATTCTTAGCCTTTCATATACACAAATCTGTCGACAATTCAATGTCTTAGCGATAAGGAAAGATATAGATTTATATTGCTTAATGCTTACCACGGTGGTTGGAGGAGATTTCATTTCGGAAGTTGTCTAATTTTTTAGTGTTTGGAGCTTAAAACTATTCACTGCATACCCAGTGGTCCCTGAAACATATTTTTAATATTTTGAATCGAATCGCATAACAGACGAGTAAAATAACGTAGTCTCGGATATGATAAAATGCATGTCCTTTATTTCTTTGTTAGCCACAGAACTTAATGAGTACTTGTAACAATCATAATATCAAAAAAATTTGCCTTGTATTTACACATTAGTATTGAAGTCCTGAATGACAACTGCAGAGTAATATAAACTCGAATATTCATATCTGGAATTGTTATGGGTTATTGAACATTTCAGAAAATACTAACTTATTTTGCTTACAAAAAAATCTTTCTGTAAGATCATTTTCATCGGTTCATAAAAAATAAACTCCGACCTTTTTGTTTATTTGAAAAACAACATTTCTATCCTTAACATTATAACCTTATTTTCATTATTAAAGTCATTTTGAAGTCATTTTAAAGTTAAGTATCTAATGCAGAAATAAAAAATGCATTCTGACTTATTTATATATTATCACTTGAATAGCTAATAAATAGTTGTTAAATGGAAAATCAAAGAAAATAAGTTCACTGTCAAAATATGAAGATATTTATTCACAATGTTTAATATTCTATTTATATACAACTACTGTTATCAAATTGAATATAATCGATGTTTTAAGTACCATAGAGAAGTAAAAAAAGAAAAAAAATTTCGAATGTTTATAGGAAAAAAATGTATACAAAATTTTTAGCTTCTGAAAGCCTTAAAATTAATATTGAAATCAATTCTAAGAAAAATTAGCTATAAAATTTCCCAGTTATGAATTCATCTGATATTCATTCGGTTGTTTGTTTTTTTCTTTTTATCTTTTTGTTATAATTCTCGATTTTACTTCGTCTTATGTTATAACGGTTGGGTTTACACGTTTAAACGTATGGGACGTTAATTTACCTTGGACGAATATCTACACAAAATTCCCTCACAGTGTCTATTCTACAGAACTTCAACACAACTCAGATCAAGAACACGTGATTAGCTTGATAACAACGTAAAAATATTCCCACACCAAAAACCCGACACGATCCAACAACAATGAACAATCAATAGTAAATAATAATAATAATGATAGGGGAATATATAACTCATCTGATACCTGCCAGACTATCTACATATCTGACTAAGCAGATAACCAATCATTGTCATTCTTGCCCACATATCACTATATAAAGCCAACATATATTTTGTTGACTTTTTATTACTAACCAATATGGTCTATGATAAACTACTTATTATTTCCTTAGTTATTTTATTTTTTTTATGTATGAACTGTTATATAATTCATACCGATGAACTTCCATAAACTTTCACTTGAAGATTGTGATATTTATATATTTTCTTTATTTGAAAAATATAATGAATAATCGTGTATCATAGTGTTTTCTTAATAACGATAAAATGTTAAAGAGTAGTATATATATATATATATATATATATATATATATATATATTGTTTAAGTGAATGATAGTAAATAGACTCATTTCTTTGAACATCAGCTTAACTTTTAATTGAAGTAAATATTCTTCACAAGATCCTACTGATATATATATATATATATATATATATATATATATATTTTTTTTTTAAGAGTACTTATTTCATAGAATATGGTGGAAGATAATTTTTATAATTTATATAAGTTAATTAAAAAAATGTAATTTAAAAGATTGATGCAATATCTGAAGAGGTTTTGTGGATATTATAGTAATTTTAATAGTTGAGTTCACAAGTCAATTAGAGCTACACCGCCATGGAAAACCTGGAAGCACTGGATGGCTGTCTCATCCTAGTACAGGACTCCTCAGCAGTGCGTACCCACGATCCCACCTCGTGAGATTCGAACCCAGGACCTATTAGTCTCGCGCACGAATGCTTAACTACTAGACCACTGAGGCGATCGGTATCCAACGGTGGTAATGTCTAACTTCAACTAATCTACGAAATGAAGCAACACATCCACCATTGGTTATTATGCAATGATTTTTTTAAAAATCTGCTATCACCTTACATGAAATATTTAATAACTAAGTTTAGTACATTATACAAAAATTACATACAATAAAGGTATTTTGAAATTATTACTATTCATTGTAAAATATTTCAAAATGAATGTATTTTCTTTGAATTTGAAAAAAAGAAACATTTTAATTAATTTAACATCTACACTTAATAATATTTACACTGCCTAGTTTAAGTCTTAGAACTTAAATGTTCATCAATATATAATAAACTTGATTTAGTTAATGTTCAGTATTACATATTTTTCCTTTTTTTCTAGTATATTACTTAAGTGCATTTTGACAGTAAAATATTAAATGAAAATACTATCATTTATTTACATAGACAGATTAGATATTACTGTAGTTAACTGCTGAATTCTATTCAAGTAAATTGTTATGTATGTAAATCGTTAAACACAGTTCATTTAAGAAACTAAGTATAAGATTTTCTATTGGTTTTAAACAAGTTTTATTTATTTGAACGCATAAATATTGGTACTAAGATGCAACGAATACATAGGCGCCACAAAAGTCAATTGACTTGTATGTGAGTTGTGATACTGTCCGACTACCCAGACCGAAGTAGGTGGTTTACTTAGAGGACCACACTCAGAGCCTTCGACATAAATGTCTGATCCACAAGGCAGTGGATCAACTTCAGCTGATGCATTCCCATGGTAGTCGGTGACTTACAGTTGGTTCATGTGCCATTTGTTTCTTCAGGATCATGGAGACTATGTGCACCATTGATTTGGAATGAGGGTTTTCCAACTGCCCCAGGTGGACCCTCCATATCCACCAACCCGGTTCGCTTATTGTCCTCTCAATTCCCTGTCAGTTTCTGTGTGCACGTAGCCATGTGAGAGCATTTCGACAGGGAGAGCTGACTCTCCCCACTCGGCCACACCAGGGCATTCAGAGGGATCGATTTTGAACTAGATTTTCATTCAGTTAATTTCCGTATTCAGTCAGTGTAGTTTTCGATGGATTTTTTTATATTAAATAGATCTTTGTGATTTCCGCATTCAAGTAATGATTATTAAATTTGATAATTCCTGTAGTTAATAAGAATGGAATTTATACGTATAGAAGTAAAATTTTTCCGAGATGTTTACTAAAAAATTTAGATAAATAAAACGATTATAAACAATGTTGTTGATTAGAAATATACATTTAAATTTGAAAGTTTACACAACTGTATCGATATGATGATCTGAAGGTTAAGCGCTTACCTCTAGATCTGTAGGTCATCGTTTTAATTCTTGGTGTAGTTGACGTATACAAGTTGGGAGTCTTATTTTAAGGCGAATCAAACTACTTTTTATTGGTAGACTAAATTAAATCAACCTGAAACAGAAAATAATAACGTAAGTCATTATTCTGTATATCGACTAATGATTGTTCCACAACAATAAATAAATCCAGAACCTTAAACTATATCCATATTGTGAAAAAGAATCTCAATGGTAAAGAATCATTAGCTATTAGGAATATAAATGTTTAAAAAAAACATTCACATAACTTTATAGTTGAATTCACGAATCACTTAAAGCTAGACCAACATGAAAAACCTGGAAGCACTTGACGGTCGTTTCTTACTAGTATGGGACTCCTCAGCAGTACGCATCCATAACCTCGTTTCGCAAAGGTCGAACCCAAGACCCATCAGTCTTGCGCTTTAACTTCAAGACCATTTAGCCGACCGGCGTCTAACGGTGTTAATGTCTAACTTCAATCAATCCATAATTGTCAATAAAAATCACTAGTTGACAGATGAAAAGAAAAAAACCAATGACATACTTTACTAATATCCAATAAAAATCTTTTATTTTATCCAACCATTAATCATTAGTATGAGATTTAAGAAAAAAATTTGATAGTTTCTATCTTGTTAGGGAAAAATCTAGTCACATAGATTATGTTCATAAATTTAGTTTAATCTTAAATGGAAAATTAAGTTCAATAAGTTATATAAGTTGTATGCATTAATTAATTTCCTATATATTGATTACATGTTTAATATTAAGATGATTTCACCTATCTGTTTACATTTAAACAATAGTATAGTAAAAGAATTATGGAGAAAAATTTAAAAATTGTCCTTTTTTTTCATATGTATATACATAAATACATACTAGACAAAGATTATGTATAAGTACATGGATAACAACGGAAGAAATAAAAAAAATTTTTTCTTTTTTTTTTGTGGACGGGGGGAGGGAAATAAACACACACACTATATGGTAGACAGGTATAAGATGAATATACATATATTTTGAAGTCAGGAAAACAATTTATAGATTATGAACGGAAAAGAAAAATTAAAGGAAATTATTAAGTGAATTAAACATGAAGAAATGTTTTTTCATGTTAAAATTATCAATAATATATACATACTGTGTTTGTTGGTTTGTTTGCTATATTTCTCATTTTTCATGAAGTTACTACTTATGCAAATCTTCTTTAAATGATTATGTTATGGATTTCATATTGGATAAATTTTAACAGAATATATATTCAGTATTTCATAAAACATAACTTTACAATTTAATAGTAATGTTGTTTAAAACAATATATACAGTCTGATGATGTACAATGGAGCAAATATTTAATGATAGAATGTATAATGGGAATATATTTATGAATATGGACCAATCTATGTAAATATTTGTATAAATACTTGGTTAACAGATAAAATGAAATCTGTTCTGTCAGAATGTGGTATACAATCACATATATCAGATAAAACTGTAGATTCAAACAATCCTTCGGAAGCTGAGGATTATGATAGGTAAGAACACTGTTAATTTTTTTTTATTGGAAGTCTAACATATGTACTCTGACCAACAATTTTCAAGGGGATTAGTTTACTTCAGAATCATTTCTATTGCAAACTCATGATAGTTTGTTCAAATCTCAGAAGTCATTTTACAGTTGACAGGATGAAAAAAATACCTAGTTCTTAACTTCCCAGATGTAATGAATTTCATATGATCCTTTATATATCTGTGTTATAATCATTTTAGGAATTGCTCATAAATGACTTTCATATGAAATGCATCAAAAATGTTTTCACATATGTTTACATCTCATATTTAAAGGTTGGATCCATGCTTTCAAGGTAAACTAATCAGTCTTTGTAAATTGTGCAGTTTAAGGCCAGTCGCATCACTTAGTTACAGATTAGGTTATAATCCGATTTGTCTTGTCTGCTAAGCAAAATTTTGCATTCGCCTTATAGATAAATTGAATATTTTGTAAAATATTTCAAAAGAAACCATTCAAACTTATATACAACACAGAAGTCTTACAGGAAGTTCAATACAAATAAATAATTCAACAGTATAGATATACTGTACTTCGTCATAATGAATAATTATACAACTTTTGATAATTTTAAAATGAAATTGGGATTGCATCAGCTTCAAGTGGTTATACTTTGATAAACATTTCTTTGTCATAATATAGGATGATTTTTCCCTGTGATAATTTTATGATCGTTAATTTCTACAGTTAAAACTATTGTGAATTGTAAAGTTCATTTCATGAATTACTGATGTATGATATCATTATTAAACTTTCCTAGATTACTATAAAACCTCTTACTTCTAATTTTCTCCCTAATGTGATGTTTAATATTCGAGATATTTGTTATTCAGTTTCTTAAAACACCTGATTCATTTTCCTGAAATTGGTTACAATGTTATGGCTATGCTATTTTGTAGATTCAAGTATTAAGACAAAATAACTTTTCCCATACTTTATAGGATGATATTACTTCTTGATGGAAACCATACCATAGCTTTATCATTATCTATTGCAAATTGCATAAGTTTTAATGTAACCACAAACTACTATACAGTTTTATTGAAAGAAAAGCGTGTTAGCACACAGTATACAGTTTATATTGAGTGGTTTAATAAATTGTAAGTGATAATTGAAAACGTTTTGACATTTATTAAGAACATGCATTTTAATTCCCCATATTTTATCTTCCCCTTTTCAGAAATTTTTACTGCTGTTATTATGAATGTTAGCTTATCATAGGAAAAGTACTCTATTTTCAGAATTATAAATTTTGTATTTTGGTTAGTGGAATGGATCTCGTAAGGTATAAACACTGTTTCTTTATAATTCAATCAACTATCAATGTGAGTAATTACATGGAAGACTATTATGTTTAACTTCACAAAAACGTTTTCTTTATTAGTAATCAGATCAAGGATCATTCAGCTTTTGAATTGATCATTGTGTTAATTAACTACTGCAACTGCAAACTGGTTAGAAATTAAAAGTGTAAAATCTAGTAGCTGAATCCATGAGCTGGTCTAAGCCAGACCACCTTTGAAATCCTGAAAGCATTGGGCGGCCGTTTCGTTCTAGTATAGGACTCCTCAGCAGTGCGTATCCACGATCCCGTATACTAAACGCGAATCCAAGACCTTCGGTCTGGCACGCGAATGAATAACCTCTAGACCACTGAGCAAACTGGCATTCAACTTTGTCGATGTTTAGTTTCAATAAACTCATGAATCCAACTAATAAATTAATATAATCTTCACAAACTTCCATTCTGATAATAAACATGTAAAACTGTTAATTTTTATAAAGATAGATGGTTTAAAAGTTTTTATTTTTTACGTTTCTTAAAAGCTAGTTTATAATTTAACTATTCAACTGTTTAACCACAGTTTTAGGCTTTTGAAATATTCAAAAACATGTTGATTGTTTTCAAAATATCCATTTAAAAAAATATATACATCTGAACTTTGTTTATGATTTCCAGTATTTTTTACATTTATTATTTAGTATATGTTTTAATGAAACCTAAGATTTCAATGCTCATTAAGCTCCTATTTCTGCATTATAAAATAATTTGTTATTTTCATTACATCTGTTAAAATTAAGCTTCATTGAAATATAAATGAGAATGCTCTGGATTACTACTAATATGTGTTATTATCATTAAGAGGGTTTTTGGAGATTGTAATATTTTTAACAGATAAATTCACGAATTGATCTAAACTAGACCATCATTGAAAACCTAGAAAGCACTGGGTGGCCATTTTGTCTCAACAGTGCATATCCGTGATTCTGCACACGGTTGTTCAGTGCTTTCGGGTTTTAAATAGTGGTCTAGCATAGATCGACTAGTAAATTCAACTGTTTATAATGATGTGTTATTGTTAAAAGTTGTGTAAATTACTTGTCAAATTACAAAATTACAAAAGTGCACTCAACATTTTTGTCAATATTAAATTAAATCATTTTTTTCCGTTTTGGATCAAATGAAAACAATCGGATCATAGGACTTAAACACAAATTCTAAAGTAATAAATTTTAAATTTTACTACAAATCCTTGGAAACATAGAAAAAAGAAAAAAAACAACCATTGATATCTTTTTATGAATAATAGACTAGTTTTTAGATATTTTACTGTATGTTTTTTTTGTTAATCTAAATACAAACTGACAATCATAATTTCATCAAAGAAACACTTAACTTTGAATAAATATTATAACAGAAAATTAAAAAAATTCTATGATTGTTTTTTTTGTTGTGACTCAATTTCCAAATGAATGTATAATGTAATATGAAACAAATGGTTTCTATCTTAATGATAAATAAGATGAGAAATATTTATTTCTTATTAAAAAAACATGTTAGTTGTTATGGAAGAATTATTTTAGAGTTACGGTTTTTTTTGTTTTTTTTATCTCTCTAGAAAATCAATCAGAAATATTTTTATATAAAAGAGATTTGTATCACGAAATGACATGAGATGAAACATCATTTGTATTAAAGTTAAGAAAAATATTTTTTTTCCTTCTAGCTTCAGGACTTATTAGTACTTCTTATTTATAGTAGTATAAAGTTTTTGGTATGAAATCACTTGAAATTATTTTACAGGGTTTATTTATACTCATGTTTTCCGAGAAGTATATTCAGTGTTATAATTTTTTAAAGAAATGTATAAAGAGTTTGAACAAAATTATAAAATCTGAAAAATATTTTTCAATTAAATAAGTTGCTTAGTTACTAAGCAAAAGCCAGAGATTATGATGTTAATGTGTAATTGGTGTCTTTTAGATGAACGCTGGATTCGATTTTATAGCTGCTTCTAGGCTGTTCATAAGCTGACTCTACAAACTGACTTGAACACAAGAGAAAAGGCGCCAAAACTGTTGTTAAATATTTATATGAAATGATTTAATAATAAATCACGTTTCATGTGATTTATGTACGATCAAATTTACTTAAAGTGTACTGAGTTGTATTTACCAATAATAATTCAATAGCTTACATTATGAATACATATTTACACAATTATACAATAAAGTATCTATAATTCTTCACAAGATGGGATGAATATAAGTTGCATACGATTGGAAAAAAATCAGTCATTTGCAAGCCAATTGATTAAGCTACTACTTGTCATATCACTATCATTTTTATGCAAATACGTATATCAACATATCTAGAAATAAATCGAAATTTTATTGTTCGGCATTGGTAAAAATACTAACCTCTATGCATATAAGTGACTAAAAATAATTATTTATAAAAGAGATTACAATAATTTACGTCTGTTACCCCTCGTAGAGGAGCATAGGCCACCCATCAGTACTTTCCATCCAACCATGTCCTGAAAAATCCTTTCCAGTCCCTTCCTGTTGCCATTGATCCTTTTCATGTCTCCTTCCGATTTCCGACGTACTGTATTCTTCGACCTTCCTATTTTCTATTTCCCTTCAGTATTTCAAGTTAGGACTTGCCTCGTGCTGTAGTTTAGTGATTTTCGTAATGTATGTCCCATCTACTTACAACATCTTTCCCTAAGTTCCTTTTCAGCTGGAAGCTGGTTTTTCCTCTCCCAAAGTAGGCTGTTGCTGATGGTGTCTGGCCAACAGATATTGAGTATCTTGCATAGACAACTGTTTATAAATACTTCCATCTTCTTGATGATGGTTGTAGTAGTTCTCATGAAAGGTATTAAACCTTATGAAATATTTGATATTCACAGAAGTATTATTTTTATTATTGTACTATCTTATGAGTAGAATGATTTAATCGACTAATTTTCACCAAAACTATAACATTAGAACTGTAAAATATTCAAAAATGTATTATCAAATTGGCTTAGATATATTTATATGTTTTACAATTGAATAGCTTATAACAAGTCAAAGTAAATAACCAAACACTATGTACCACTGCATTTGTATTATGGATATTTATCGACTTTCATTAATAGTAATATATGTCTTTGATAACTAAATTGTTTTAGTTTACATAAAAGACAAAATAAAATTTCTAAAAGAAAACAATTTCTCAATATTTACCATAGGTTTTAGCTTCTGATATAATCAGATTTATGAGTAAAACAATGTTTATGAATTTCTTACATTGAAATAATTTGTTACGTAAAAAACAAATCTGTAAACAAAGTTGTCGAATACACTTTTCATTAAGCAGAATTCCAACCATGGGTTTCATATAGATATTGATTTATAGAATAATGTCATATTACATATTAGCTTGGACGTTTTCTTGTATGATTATTCTGACTATATACAATAGTATTGAACTTAAAACATTTTGTAATGAGGACTGTCGAAAAGTATCAGGTTATAACTTGAAGTACGTTATTGTCACTTAATGGTTATTGCTCATTGTTGATAAATGATTGTTAATGTCTTACAAGATCAATGAGGACAATTCATAGCTGTGGACCGTTAGTTTATAAGAACTTCTGTCTAAGACTGTACGCATAGATTCACAGTATTCGG